GGATGGGGGCTGTGGGGCCGGTTTGGGGCCTCGGGGGGGCCCGGGACGGGGGTGAAGAGGTGGGGTTGTGCCCCACACGCAGGAAGGCAGGGTGTGCCGGAGGGCCCCTCACCCTGCGCTTCTCTTCCTTCAGCTCCGTGGCATCACATCGAGAACTTGGACCTCTTCTTCTCTCGCATATCCTTTCGCAGGGCACAGCTCAGGCGGGATGCACCCCACCGCCTCCTGGGCTCTCGGCGCTGGTGGGAACACCGGGTTTGGTGTAACTCGGAGCTGGGGCGGCATCTGCCCTTTCCCGGAGGACGCCACATGGCTCCAGAGGGGCTGGGGGATGGCAGAACCCCCATGCCTGTGGAGTGCTGTCACCCGACACTGAGGGGACAGACAGATTCTTTTAGGGATCCTTGGCAGAGTGATGACATCACTGAGTTGTATTTACAATTAAAGCTTTATTTCCTTAACAGGATTTTATGTTTAGTAGCGTAATACAAAATTTTATAGCGCCGCTTAGTTTATGGTTCCTAATCACCTGGACTCTTTGCAGATCGGGTCAGATCTTAATACATGGTTTGCTCTGTCAGTATAACAATCATAATCTAGACTCGAAAATCATATAAAAGCCTACGAGTCTCTCACTCAGTTCTCGGAGGAAGCAGATGACGGTGGAGGCCTCTCTGGCCACCAGGGAGTCCCGGGTCTCACTGTCCAGCAGCAGCTCCGGTCCAAATTCCCACTTAGGACTTGTAACTCCTTGATTTTGTGGACAGTGCTCTGTGTGCTGTTACACTTCCCTGTTCTGTGACGGGGTCATCACCGCCACCGGGTTGGCTGGGTGCCTGGGACCTTCAAGGCTGGCAAGGAAGGGAGTAATCGGCCTGGCACCCAGGAATCTTGAGGCGGGTAGGGAGGGGAAAAAGAAATCTGTTTCGTTTGTCTACTTGGTTCGCAGGACCTTCAGGGCCTGATAACGAGGGAAAAGTAACTAATAGGTAACCTGCTTGGTCACAGAGAATGGCTGCTTGTCTTATAAAATGGCATTAGTTATGCTAACCACGTTACCAGGGGTTGGGAGCAGGGGGTACCGCTCACATGTGCTGGGGGTATTAAATGCATTTTTGCCTGTCTCTGTGTTGTCCTGCCCTGCCCTGCCCACCCTTGTGCGGCCTGAGGGCATGCTGAGTTTCTGCTCTGTGCTGGGACAGACCCTCCTCTGGGCGCTGGGTGGGGGAAAAAAGGAGCTTAGATGGAGCCAAGTCCTCTTATGCCAGCTGTGGTTTACCTGGGCAGAGTGATTCTCCCTGCAGTGGAGAACCAGCTTGTTGATGAGTAGGGATGTGAGGGGATTTCCATTGGTGGTGGAGGGAGACTTGGCTGGGGAGCTGCAGATGCCAGTGAGACAGAAGCCTCTCCATCCTTTGTCAGAGGGAAGCAGTCTCCAGACTATTCTCCTTGACTGTAGCTTTCACGTCTATAACCTGCATCAGAAGAATGGCTTCACCTGCATGCTCATTGGAGAGATCTTTGAGCTCATGTAAGTGCAGGTTCCCCCTCTGTTGTGGCTGTTCTGCAGCTGGGTGGGCGGGAGGGTTCCCTTTACAGTTGTCCTGTCTCCCCTTCGTTAGGGTTTTCCATGCCCCAAACCTGCATTCTACTTGGAGGAACTGGTGCCCTTGAGCTCTCCTGCCACCATGGCTGTGGGAATGCATCTCCATGACGCATGACCCTGCCTGCTTCACGTTTTGGGGGGCAGAAGGGCGATTCCCTCACGCCTGCTCCCTCTTTTCACAGGCAGTTCATCTTTGTGGTGGCGTTCACCACCTTTCTTATCAGCTGTGTTGATTACGACATCCTTTTTGCCAACAAAGCGGTAAATCACAGCCAGCATCCCAGTGAGCCCATTAAGGTGACTCTGCCAGATGCCTTCCTGCCTCCAAATGTCTGCAGTTCAAGGTAGGGGCAAGCGGAGGGCATGTTAGCCACTGCTCTTGCTTTCTCAGGTACTCAGGGCGCCTGCCCGGGCCTGTCTCCCACTACTTGCCTCTTCTTGCTTGCAGAATCCAGGCAAACAGCTTCCTCATCTGCATCCTGGTGATAGCTGGGGTTTTCTGGATCCACCGACTCGTCAAATTTATCTACAACATTTGCTGCTACTGGGAGATTCACTCTTTCTACATCAATGCCCTCAAAATCCCCATGGTAAGTAGCTGGGCCAAGGGCCGCGTGCGGGACCGCAACGGGACGCGGGAGGCATTGGCTGAGTGGCGAGAAGCAGCTCGCCTTCGCTCCTCTCCGGAGCCAGCTTCTCCGGGAGACCTGTACCAAGCCCTCTTCCCTCTGCTCCATAACTGCATGGGTCTCCTTTCATCCTCTTCTCCAGCAGCCAATTGTGCGTTAACCCCTCTCTGCCCAGCCTGCCTCTCTGCCTGCTGGCACACACCTCTGCCATCTGCCACCCAATATGTTCATCCTTCGGTGATGGCCTTTTCTGTGATACCTTTCAACAGAGGAGGCATAAGTGAGGATATCCTCGCACCTCCCTGGGTTGTGGACAAGGTCATCTTCCTTGTTTACTGGGGGGGAAACTGAGCCATGGAGCTGCCTAGTCATTGAAGGCCACACTGGAGATCGGTGTGTCAAAGATGGGGTTTGAGGCTTGCACATATATCCTAGTCCAGAGTCCTTGCTCTGATGGACAACATCAAAAGGTGTGTGCGCATCCTTTGAGGAGAGACCATGTCTTGAGAAAGGTGGGGTGAGCCAAGAGGCTTGGCTTGTCCCCAGCTTTTCTACAGGCTCCCTCTGGGACACTGCTTAAGTCCCTTCCCCTGTTCGTGTCTCCCTGCTGACTCCAAATGGCAGCTCTGGGAGGACCCATGGGAGCCTGGAGCTGTGTTCGTGCCTCCAAGGCAGCTGGCGAGTGAGTGGCTGGGAAGCAGTCATCTGCACTAATCTAGGGGTAAAGGGCACCGGGGCAAGGTATGGGGTTTGCTCTCTGCAGGCTGAAGTGGTGCAGGGAAGTGCCTCGTGTCCTGGCGTTGCATGTGCCTCGTCAGCACCCCGAGGCGTGCGCCGGGACCTGCTGTTTGAGTGGGCTCAGCCCAGCCTCTGTCCCTGGACGCATCCCGCCCCTAACCTTGCGGCTTTCCCCCCTCCCGCCCACCCCCCCACAAACACACACGCAGGCCCCCCTTCCAGCCCCCCCTGCCGTACTACACCTGGCAGGAGGTGCAGGCCCGCATCGTGCAGATCCAGAAGGAGCACCAGATCTGCATCCACAAGAAGGAGCTCACGGAGCTGGACATCTACCACCGCATCCTCCGCTTCAAGAACTACATGGTGGCCATGGTGAACAAGTCGCTGCTGCCCATCCGCTTCCGCCTGCCCCTGCTGGGAGACACCGTCTTCTACACGCGTGGGCTCAAGTACAACTTTGAGCTCATCTTCTTCTGGGGGCCCGGCTCACTCTTTGAGAACGAGTGGAGCCTGAAGGCTGAGTACAAGCGGGCCGGGAACCGCCTTGAGCTGGCTGAGAAGCTCAGCACTCGTATCCTCTGGATTGGCATTGCTAACTTCCTCCTCTGCCCCCTCATCCTCATCTGGCAGATCCTCTACGCCTTCTTCAGCTACACGGAAATCCTGAAGCGGGAGCCGGGCAGCCTGGGTGCTCGCTGCTGGTCTCTCTACGGCCGCTGTTACCTCCGTCACTTCAACGAGCTGGACCACGAACTGCACTCACGCCTCAGCAAGGGGTACAAGCCAGCTTCCAAGTACATGAACTGCTTTATCTCCCCACTCCTCACCATCGTGGCCAAGAACGTGGCCTTCTTTGCTGGCTCCATCCTGGCTGTGCTCATCGCTCTCACCATCTACGATGAGGACGTGCTGGCGGTCGAGCACGTCCTGACCACGGTCACCCTGCTCGGGGTGGGCATCACGGTGTGCAGGTGAGGTGGGTGTGTGCTGCCCCCGTGCTCCTGGCAGCGCTGTGAGGAGCAGTGGGGCTGACAACCATCCATGCAAACGTGCTCTTTGGTTGCAAGCGGACGTGAATCTGCCTGAGTGAAGGGCACGGCTGGGGAGAGCCAGGGGCAGGCAGGAGAAGGGGGTAGTGGTGATCTTGGGTGCAGTGGTAGTATGATACGAGGGCTGGGCTGGCAGGAAGGTTTGGGTTGGGCGTGAAGGCTACAGGTGGAGCTGTGATATGGGCCGGTTACCCTGCCCTCCCAGGATGAGATCTCCCAGGAACTGAGATGCGATGCTGTGATGTTTCCCTGTCCTGTCCTACAGGTCTTTCATCCCTGACCAGCACCTGGTGTTTTGCCCAGAGCAGCTGCTGCGAGTCATCCTGGCGCACATCCACTACATGCCTGACCACTGGCAGGGCAATGCCCACCGCTATGAGACCAGGGACGAGTTCGCCCAGCTCTTCCAGTACAAAGCGGTGAGCTTGGCTGGCAAGAGGCTGGGGCGGGGACTCGCCCCCATCCCTGCAGGAGGGAGAAGCTGCCAGAGAGCTGAGCAGCTCCTGGGCTGGCAGAGGAACAAGGCAGCTTTCTCAGAGACGCCCTGCCCCAGAAGATGGGGCTGGAGCTGGGGGCTGGGTTTGGGATTGCGGGTTTTTTGACATCCTCAAGCTTGTGCTGAGACCATCATGTCTGTGCTCAGGTCTTCATCCTGGAAGAGCTCCTGAGTCCCATCATTACTCCCCTGATCCTCATCATCTGCCTGCGGCCCAAGTCCTTGGATATCGTTGACTTCTTCCGCAACTTTACGGTGGAGGTGGTGGGCGTGGGCGACACCTGCTCCTTTGCCCAGATGGACGTGCGCCAGCATGGCCACCCGGCGGTAGGTCCCGTGGGTGGTGGGAGAGGAGCCTGGGCTCCCCAGCAGCATGTCTGGTCCTTTAGACCCATGAGAGGCCGTAACTCACCACTCCTGGCAGCCCACAGCCCAGCCCAGCCACCTGCCTCTCTGCTGAGTGTCTGGGGCTGCCCACACAGGTCACCAGCCCCAGAAGGCTCTTCTGGGGCCCAGCTGTGATTATTAACCTGGTATTTTGTGAACCAGGCTTTGTCATTTCTTTATTTGATGTCCATGCCTGCCTTCACAACCAAGCATCCTGTGTCCTCAGGAGAGAGGAATGGGGATATTTGGACATTTAGAAAGCATGACCACTGAGAATGGACTTAAAGAAGCTGGGCTGCTTGTGCCCACGAGAGAGGCGGCCTCGGGGAGATGGGAAGCATTTTCCATTATGTAAAATCTAGTGCGGAAGGAAAGGGGATCCATCTATTTCCTGTGCCTGGGAATTTAGGTTACTTGTCAGGCAAGACTCCCTAGTGACAGGGCCATGAACTAGAGAGGGGGTGGACTCACTGTGACAGGAAGCTTTTGTCATTTGTTGGCTGTAGTCGCTCCTGCTGCGAGCTGGAGACTGCAAGACGAGGCTTTCAGCTCTGTGTTTTGTGACTAGTCCCCGTCTCTCTGGTTCCCTTGCAGCGATGCATGTTCTAGGGCGGAGGTGGAAGATGCTGTGCTTGCTGCTTCTTCCCCAGGCTGTGAGGGCTGAACTAGTGTGAGGCTTTTGGTGTAGTGCCTGCTACATGTGGAGCCGTGGCCCAGCTTATGCTGGGTGTTGCGTGCTTTGCCCAGACTGATTGCAGGATTCCCGGGCCTGGCAGGGGTGTAAAGCAGATTCTGTCCCTCATTACCTGTCTGTGCTCTGCAGCGGTTGTCAG